GTTTCATTTCTCTCAAACTCGTTCTTTCCAGACATGATACCAATCCGACATGAAAGTCGTCCCACTACACACATGTCCACATCGCATTCCGGTTATAGCGATTCGGTTTTGAGCATGGTGGAAGGAAAATCTTTGCTCAATCGTTCAACTCCCATACCCGAATTGAATTTGGCATCCGTTGTCACTCAGTCTCAGGCCAATTTGAATAGACAAATTCTGTATGGAACATATTTGTCCAATTCTACCGCTTTGCGTAAAAGCAGTGCTCCCGCGTCCCAAACACAAGCTAAATACCGAATTCCGTTTGTGGCTAGTCACACATGGAATAGCAATATTGGTCTTGGACCGTTGGGAGAACTGCAGCTTAGTGATGATCCTACAGTGATGCGATTCGAGAGGTAAGGAAAAGGTATCGATTTTTAATTTTTGGTGACCATACGGAATTTACCAGAGCACCTGCAGTCTTTATAGCAATAAGTGATTTTATAATAAATGATTTTATTTCACACTTAATTATCCCACACAGCACTTAGTTTACACGTTTGGCTTAAGAAATAGGATCCAGTTTGACCCCTACTGAAGTTCAACGGTCATATTTCTCCAGCGACTCACCCAGATTCCCAGCCGTAGATCTGCTACAGTTCTAGCTTTCAATAACAGTTGTTTGAATCGTAAATCCAACAGCAGCAATTTTCGATCACAAACCCCGCTGTATCAGGTTAGATATGCAATTTTTTTTAATGTACTCAGTTAGGTGTGCTAAGTATTAACAAAGTGGTTTATGTGAATCTGTTCTGAAGCGTAAACTACTATATACTGGTTCATCAGTGTCGCCGGTACCCCCGAGTGGTCAGATTCGAAAAGGTCCAAGTCGCCGTTTCCGTCTTTATCTACTACAGATACGTTAGATAGCTGAAACTTACAGAGCTCCACTATTACTTGTTTGGTATACTGAAACTAGTACTGGTGAAACTAACATTTCGACTAAGTCCCTTTAGAATATGAATATTTTGGGGTCTCGGAGATACTGATGCACAGGTACATATAGACGGCGCGAAATGGAAACTACGGGGGCGATTTGGTATAAACTGATTCATTTCATAATAAGTATCCAGTTATCTTTATCCCCCCTCCCACTTCTCTTTCTCTCCCAAAATTAGTAGTAATTATTTTTCATATGAACAGTTTAGTTAAACTATTTTATTCCATCACCCCTGTCATTTCAGATTCGTAAAAACCGAGTGATTCAAAGATTAAAAAGCACCATGATGTTAAATATTCATCAGTGCATCTTCTTTGATAAAAGTCCACTGTTTATCCCACAAGAAATAATGGATGGAACCTCATGTCATTTTTTGACACAGAAGTTGGTAATGTCTTTGGTTTTCTCTCTCTCGCTGTCCCATGACATCACTTCCATCCAACCACTTGCAAACCCTGACATCATATGAAGAATGAGCCTCACCACATGTCCTGCACTCAAACCCGAACACAACTGCCGATTTCTCAGCCTACAAAGGAATCGGATTACTAAAATCGATCACTTGTACCGCTTGACCCAGCTGGTATTTCTCGACCTCTCTCACAATCAGGTTGGCTTGATCAGTGGTTTGGATCAGTTACATGAACTCCGAGTGCTCTTGCTTGGCCAGAATCACATACGACGTATTGAGGGATTGGAACAACAACGCAATTTGGAAGTGTTGGATTTGCAAAGAAACGGAATTCAGAAAATTGAGAATATTGCGCATCTGAGCAAACTACGGGTGCTAAATTTGGCCATGAACGGGGTTGTGTTTCTGAACGGTTTATCTGGACTGATCTCCCTTACTGAGGTCAATTTGCGTCAAAATAATATTGTGAAAATTGAACCGCTGAGTAATTTGCCCCGATTGAGTTGGATTCAGCTGAGCTTCAACAACATTGAAAGGTATGGTTTTGTCGTGCAATTGAACTTTTTACCTTTGTTTTTGTTTACATCTAACCCACAACCTGTAAGCTAGTAACGTTATCGTTTAATGACAACCCGTTCTCACGCATGCATTTGAGCTTTATTCGAACGTAAATGTGGATTCGGAAATGGTCGACACCCAAAATTTTATCTACCGAATTACATGCGATAAGTTCAAAAGTCAACTACTCGTTGATGCTTAGATGCGAGATATGTATGAAACTTTCTCAGAGGTGCCCGGCTACATCAAACCTACGGCTTACGAAATAATTGGTTGTCGGGCGCATCTTCAAGTCGCCGATAGAATATGGATTACTTCGGTGATTTTCCATGAAAAGCTGACATGGAGTCACTGTCTAAGCGGTTGCGAAAGTTCAGCAACAATGCCTCAGGGATGTGGTTGGATTTTGCCTGGTGAGCAACCCCTCTGCAATGGAAAGCTACAAAAATCCATATAAAGCGACATGACGTGTTAGTCTGGCCTTCTAATAACTGAGGTCATCGTCATCATTCTGTTGCTTCACAGTCAAAAAGGAAAACGTCCAAATGTGATTGGGAATATGTAGTAGTTGAAGTAAACACAAATCACGAATTACGAATCATGAATCACCAATCACGGACGCAACCGAAACGCTGAATCGCACTAGAACTTGCACGTTGTTATCTTCCGTCATCGAGACGCGAGAAAAAGGCAACAGAGGTAGCAATTCGTTTATTGAAAGAAATCCAGGTGAATAAATAACAAATAACAAGTTTATTGATTATTCGGGTATCTTCAATCGCGCGCGTGTGTTCTTGACTTCATTCACATTCTGTCTGGACTGCATGACTTCTGATTGATCGGCATGATTCTCTGTTCGTTAGCCATAGAATGTAACGCGTAGGCGCTCGGCTGGCGTCACCGGGGAAGGTTGACTCCCCACGGTTGTCCAGAATCTGTAACGCGTCCTCCTTGGCTGGAGTTATCCCGTAGCCTAGAATCACCACAGAATGCCACGTTTTAATTAATCCCCGTAGATTCTCCATTGATTCAATAATGCATCTAACTTATCTTCGCGTGGGAGAAAGTAGCTTAAAAGTAAAATAGTAATTATTTATTTCAAAGGGATTGCGTTTTATCATGATGGTTGCGTTTGTGCGCCTGAAGAACGCGACTGACCAAACAACATGGCTTTTCCAAAACTTAAAACTTGGTCATGCTTAAGTGGCCGAAGATCGATTGAACTTGTGTCCCGAATCCTCCATCTGCATCCGGTAATTAAGTAGAACAATAAATATCTTAATTGGAGAAACCTGCACTTAGCTACCTTTCAACATTTCACAATCACATTCTCAATATATATATATATATATATATATATACAACACCAATTATTACAGATACGGCACCAAAATAACCGTGGGTGAACGAAAAAATATAGGTAAAAATCAACCCTACGGTAGTAGTTTACCTTTAATCGATCCCAAATAAGGTAAACCAACACCAACCTTTACCAAGTGCTGAAAATTATATCTTTATTCGGACTAGTGTGTCAGTTAAATCGCTTTTTATATTATCTCGGGAAAAATGTTTAGGCTAATTCCCGAAATAGGCAATACACTAAGGCGATCTTTCAAGAGGCATCTGTCGGCTGGCATTTTCGTGTCACAGTCGACGCATGGTGTGCATTAGCCGGAACATGCTTTTGATGCTCAGTGCGTTATTCTATTCTGTCATGATTCAAGCTTATTGCAATTTATGCGGATTTAATTATTAGTTTCTTTTCTGACATAAGACACAAGATGAGTTTGATGGTTTGAAACAGTGTTGAGTTGTCAGATCACAACATAACATCTGGAGTGTTAAGTTTGTCGTAAAGCTCCGTCCATTTTAATTCCCCTCAAAAGTAAACCTCCGTCTGTCACTCGTATAATAATGAATGATAGCAATAGAAATACAGATGTTTGTCTGAGAACAATTCGATGATATTGTTTCAGTTGACACATCAATTAACTCAACTCGATGAAGATGCTCCGTGAACACCAATCGAATAAAGTATTGGATAATTGAAACAACCTTATGAACTTGAATAGAGAACACAGCAGCACAGTGTTGCACAATTTATTTCCGGAATATTTTGCTGTATCTCTTCAGCCACATAGTACAGTCAAAGAATATAATGAAAACTAAAAAGTAACATTTACGGCGTATGAGTTGTTGGTGTTATCTTCATCCATCTTATTAGGTAGGCCTAGAGTTACAAATAACTTTTTCTGCTTGCACAGTTCAGGCTTCTATCTTTTTTATAGTAATCACCTCTGCAAACTGGCGAAACCGAGAGTTTTGCGTGATGAGGATACTCTTAAATGCTGTGGTCACGTTCATTTGATGCCCTTCACTTGATCTCTCTAACAGGTGACGAGCGAGTGAAGACGCTGGTGTGCGGCGTTGGGTTTACCCTTGACCTTGATCATTCGGATGTGATTCGTTCACCAGTTTGTCAACCCACACTGGGATATGCTCGGCTACTTGGATAATTACTTGATTGAGATCAATTGAATGTAAAGAATTACCATACTTTTCTCTATGAGCACAAACTGCTACGTAACATGAATATTGTAATTAACGCTTGCATGTGGTTCGTACACATTACAAATACGTAAAAGTGCTATGGGTTTTCGTGGTCCGTTATATATTATTATTCCAGATTTTTTGCCACACAATCATAAGCCATCTAAACCAATTTAGTTCAGTTCAGTTTGTACAACCATGAACCATGCTTTTTCGTGCAGAGGTTTTTGTTTGTGTCTTTGAGGCCCAATTGGGATAGGGGATAGAAGTAGAAGTGAAATACTGAGAGCAGTGTTAAAGTGAAAGAGAGAATTCATGAAGATTAAAGTTGAAAGAATAGTGAGTGGATGCATAAACACCATATCAATTAGTGCATATAACCATTGATTATAATGATCCCCATATCCGTATCATAGTAGCCTAACGCGACCTATGTGAACAAGTCTCCCGGTCGGGGTTTTCACACCCTCATGTCCGGTCTTCGTTTGACTACCCTTTAATTTTATCCACCCACCACCTGCCTCGGTAAACAGCACGCGCCGTGGCAACGCATTTGGTGACGTGCGAAACACATGTCCTAACCAACGTAGTTGATGGGTGTCAACCACTTGCTCCAAAGAAGTTCAGTTTTATGCAACGGTCTCTTTAGACAAATATTCACCTATGAACCACTCCGTCCTTCTAAAATTGACAGATGGAGTCAGATTAGTGGATTATCAAAACTACCGGCCACAGCCAAAGTGGTTTTGGATGGAAATCCAATTGTAATGGATCCATCGTATAGGCGATTGATGCCAACACAAATGGCGTTGACCCCCGAAGTTGAGAACAGTCATCAAAACAGTCGGGTGAGTGATTGGAATGTTTGGATAATGACGCTAAATAAAACACTATTATGTGCTTTCGTATTCAGTCGCTGATTCATTGGACTCAACTGAAGGTACAGTAATTGAATTAGAAAAGACACGGTGTGCTAAAAACTGCACAGAGTTATTGATTCTTTTTACAGCATAAGGTCAGTTGTGTTGCAAACGAAAAAAATCGAAACTTCATAACCCGAAATTTTTCACTACATAATGGTATTGTGTAATTATTTTTACAAATAAGAAGCTAAGTAAAGATTCGAATTCGAGCAACGATCCTAATCTATTCTCGATTCACCATTTTCATGTTTGTGGGTTCAACCTGACTTCCTTTAGCTGCAATTGCAGTACACAGCCGCATTATATATTATTAAACGAGAACATGCGTCACGGTCAGGTACGTTACAAAATGCAACAGTCAGCATAAGTAACACTGATTAGCAGTTTTCAAGTACTTTTATAAATCTACGCTCTCGGTCACAGACAAACTATTTTGTGTATACGGTTCAACTGAAGACCAGGAATGAGTTGGATTAAATAGCAGGACTAAAGCATATAATATATGTTCCGGTGATGGTAGCATCTTCAACACAACCATTTGACCACAGCCTGTCAAATGTTATTCGAATACTTGAATTTCACCTCCAATATCATATCACTATGTTTTCTGGGATACCTTCATGCTTCCTTGGTAAGATAAAACGACAATTATGTTAAAATAACTCACTGGTATGTCACAGAACCAACTGAAATTTAGGTAGCGTGTTATTGTTAATATTGTTATGGCGTTGGCACCAAGCTTGTTCTCAAGCCGGTGTTAAATATATATATACCGTGTTATAAGAATTTATGATTAGCTTGTCTCAAAATAATATTTTGAGATACTCATGGGAAAATTGTGGCGTAATTTACATCCGGAGTGCTGGGATGAGAAAGAATTGAAAAAGGAACAACTACTACAAACACGTGATGAGTGGCAAGGACCGCAAAACCGGTGGTGCTTCTGGGACTTCTGTGGTAAGGTTTCTTTTCTGGAAAAGTTTTATATTCTCTTCAGCTACTTTGCTTACATTATTCTGTAGACAGCCAATGGTTCCGGTAAAAAGGAGACACTATGAAGCACAGACGCCCCAGTTTAAGAGTATGATATATACGTTATTAGAGTGGCAAGCTTGGATTAGCCCATTTGATTTTTAAGAGGCACCAAACACTCTTAATATTCTTTGGTATGGGTTTCACTCCTTGGTAGATCGTTAATGCCTCACAAGTTCATGCATTTACATGCGATAGAAACGTTTGTGATCACCGACAAAGAGCACTGGACAGCTGTTTCGTTCTGTTTAGGACTCGTTAGAATTACGTACTTTTCGTGTACCTGTCAGGACTCGAACTGAACTTGGAACTTCAAACCCTTACGCCTGAGCTACACGGTTGCACAAGGTGATGATCGTCAACAACAATATAAACGGAGAACAGAGGGGTTGGGATACGAAACAGAGTGAAGTGGGGGTTAAGCATTTCAGAATGAGAAAAAATATTTGGTTTGATTCGCTGGGTATAACCATTTATTGGATTAATTAACCGGTTTTACCTTGTACAATGAAATAAATCTAGGATTTCTGCCTATCACTTAATGGTAAATGCGAGTTGTAAGATGTACAGTGGGATAATGGGATAATTGATGATTCATTTTGAGTTTTTAAATTGAAATTGTTATTTTTGTCATATATCTTGGTTTTTATTCCATCCGCTCCAGGTCTACAGATGCGCCCGTCAAACCTCCCACATTATCAGTAGTCAGCTTCCCTTGGGTATGGTCACCACCAACACCCCAGGCACTGAAGTGTACGATGTGAGCCAGATCCATCTGCGAATACCCGAAGTCACAAATAATGTCAATGATAAACATAATGTGACAGGGCAAAACGGAGCAGGAGGAGCATTAACATTACAACCAGTTGAACTTGAAGGTCTAGCTGCAGGTGATCATCATTCGAAGAGTGCTAGGTGAGTTTGAGGTTGATATACATCTCTATGGCTGTTATGGCTCTAAATTACTGGTAACACTAAACACGAGTTGCACACTCATGATTGCCAAGTTCACTTTCTGAGCACATAATTCTGACCGGGAGTGATGCTATACTCATCCGTAATATATATTCATCATTCTCTCCCAAATCAGTATTGTAAAAATAATTACACCGTACATATGCTTTGTATGCATAGCATATTCATAATGAGGGAGAACATTGCAACTCGCACATAGACCACTCACAAAAGATGTTATTTTATATGTTCATCATTGAAAGGCAAAGTTTGAATCAAATCAGCCTGGTATTCTCCCAAAAGGCAGTAGAGCCAACGTATGTCCCGTAAATAATCCGATAGAGTGATTTTGATATCGGTACCGAATAGAAGGTAATCAGTTGCCAGGAGAAAAACATCCATTCCCAAATGGTTCCGGTAGTTACGTACATGCGAATATCTATGCATGAACATAAACACATGATGTAAAGATGTGAATTAATTTGTATCTGTATGCTTTATGATTTTCTAAAATATGAAGACGTCATGCAACTGAACAAACTATTTTACTTCATATTTTGTTTGCAAATTGTTCTGGATGTTCTTGAAAAATGGTACAAAGGTTCTATCACTTGCACAATAAACAAAATCATTCGGTGTTCCTCATGCAGTCCAGATTTGAGCGGATTGAAACTGACCCCATAGAATAAAAGGAAACATATTTCATAAATTCAGCCATGCACTCCAAAGGTTGTCAATCTCTTGTGTTAAGGGTTTGCTTCACCTGATACGGGGGTTGACTGTTTGAGTCCCGGCAGGGATTCAATAGGTACACAGAGACCGCGAACCGCAGCGAAGACCAAACAGCCCTTTGTGACCCTTGACAAATGGACTGTATTTATAAGCATAAGCAGAATCGGCAAACTAACAAGGATTGATAATCATGGAATTATAGTAATATACAGACCGAGATGCTTGTGAATTCACATGGAGTAAAATATCTGAATTATCGAGGTATTAGCATTTTTGAAATATTTATTGCTATCGTTAAACTCATATGGTCACTATTGCTCACACATTATCTTCTAAGTACATAACTGCAATAATCACAGATTGAAACTAAAAAAGAAAACGAGCTGATTTAGACGTTTACGTAATTGCACTTCTGGGTTGCTAGCAGACACTGGCGTCTTAAGATAGCTTGATTCCAACATTTCCAAGAGGAAATGACCAAAACCTCTGAATATATCCATAAATGTTTCTTGAGGATGAAAATGCTCTTTATCATACTCCCTTAGGTGACAAAGCAGCAGTTGACGGGCTTTCCATGAAGTTCATTTCAGTTTTTTACAAAAATGAACCATACGCTTTCGTACGGTGGCTTTGTTTGTTGCCTCACGTTTGCCCTTCAGGGTTGAAACAATAAAGGGGAAGTCGGAATGTTCAAATCAGTGTCAGAGAATTCATGAAGATTAAAGTTGAAAGAATAGTGAGTGGATGCATAAACACCATATCAATTAGTGCATATAACCATTGATTATAATGATCCCCATATCCGTATCATAGTAGCCTAACGCGACCTATGTGAACAAGTCTCCCGGTCGGGGTTTTCACACCCTCATGTCCGGTCTTCGTTTGACTACCCTTTAATTTTATCCACCCACCACCTGCCTCGGTAAACAGCACGCGCCGTGGCAACGCATTTGGTGACGTGCGAAACACATGTCCTAACCAACGTAGTTGATGGATGTCAACCACTTACTCCAGTAGGCAACCGCGGGTACCTACATACTGGCACTCTCTTCCCACTCAGTCGTTCTTTTTCCGTCTGTTCCATAAACCCACAGACGTAACTTGCCCGAATTCCGGATATAATTCTGTCCATGCGCGAGATGTTGGTCTAAATGAACTGGAGAAACTATCCATTCGAAATTGTGAACCGGAACAGTCCCCGCAATCCTTACTGGAGTTTTCGAAAGCGCTTCCGGAAAATCTGTTTCCCTCTAGGTAGATTGCTTTTGTAGATGTTGGTTTATCTTGGCAGTTCTCCACATTCATTTGCCTTCTGCTACGGCACATCGGATCACTTTGGCATGTCACAGCAAAGAACTAGCCTGAGCAAACTGAACCGAACTTATTATCTACAAGCATTTTTACGGATGATGAACTCTTTTGCAGAAAACTACCATCATGTTCACATGTAATAATAAATCTGTTTATGCTCGGAAAATTCCAGAAGCACATATTAACTAAGCAGTATGCTGAACAACCGATGTGTCCATTAGTTATAAGCCTGTTGATATCTCGTCTAATATTTTATCTCAACTTTCATACTCATATATATCGGTAGTATGAATGTCGTGATAAAATATTGAACTATGCGTAAGGTAAATAAAAAAATATTGTTAACAATAGAGCGAATGAAATCCCTTCATTATAAGTAGGTAATGTCTGATGGTGGATACAAGGAACTTCAGCACTACTACTAGCAATGGCGCCGTATCTGTAAAGATTGGTTATATATATATATATATACTATCAATGAAGAACCCCACATAGCTTCAATCTGATAGTGATAGCACATTGCGGAATGGCAGTGGACCTGGTAACCACTTATAGTGAAAGAGAATAACAGTCTTTTATTGCCTCATACAGTTTACCGAGTAAATCTGTTTGATACAGCTGGAGTCTTTGTAAATTTTTCTGTGCAACTCTCTTGCTATTCTCTCTTTTGATAGCATCACCAAGGTAACCGATTTACCAGCTAACAAGGGAACAAACTGCGTGAGTGCAGCCGTATTATCCACCGAAAGTTTTCAAAGAATACCATCCGATACTTCGAGGTCTGACTCACCTCCAACGGAACCGCCTACATCCACGAAACCACAGTCTAAAAGCAGAAAAAGAACAATGACGGATGAAAGCTTCCTAAGATCCCATTCAGAAATTTGTCAAATATCTGTCATTCATTGGCAAGTTGTGGATCGCACGCATATTCGATTCGAAGCTAAATTATACAACGATGATCCAGAGGGTAGCCTTTTATTAACAAGTGCTGAAACCACTGGGTTCAAAAACCTTGGAGCTGCTTTGAATGATTTGGCTTTTGCAGTAAAGTCAGCGGATCGATTGACTCCCAGTAATTCTTATCCCACAAAAGCAACCAATTTGACACAAGTAACACAAATCTCCCTGTATCAAATAACATGGAATGACTTCATTGGAGAAATACCGCAAATTCGAATAATTTTCCCCGAACTAAAAGTAAGTCTCTAGCTGTTAGGTGAAAACTTTTCAACAATAGGTAATTTTTGGTAATGCCAGGTATTGTTCTCCCTGTTCAATTGCTTCAGTTGTCACCCAGATGTATTTCATTGGTGGGAGCGTAAAAGAAATTGAGATGCTTCAAGAAGAAACAGGCAAGAAAAGCCTGCAACGATTTTTCCCTGTGTTATTTTGGATTTCGGGAAACATGCTATCCATGCAATTCATTACACGATCTGGTGGAGGAACGGGATAAGTAATGCCTGGGTCAGGCTCAGAGTTTTGGTCTTTTGCGGTTGTACTGGAGTAAGTACTCGACTTACATAGATTGTATTGTCTGGATCCCATATTACACCAAAATAGAGTGTTTCGGCATGCTATGTTCACAGTGGAAATGAGCGCGTAGAAGAAGGTTAAAGGTTCAGTTCAGTTTGTACAACCGTTATCCATACGCTTTCGTGCGCCGGTTTTGGTTGCCGTCTTTTGGCTGCCCATTTGGATGAAGCATTAGGAGAAAGACAAGAAAATTGAAAGTAGAATGGAATGGAAAATGGAGAACTTCAGTGAACTAATGTTGTAAATAAATTGATTAGATGCACGAACGCCACTGTTCACGACACTGAGCCATATCATTCAGTGTCTCTAATTATCGGTTACGATCATCCCGAGGACCCCAGCCAGGGGGCATTGCTCGTCCGGCTGCCCCACCAGATTCTTGCAATGCTGCGTAGACAGCAGTGTTCAAACACCGACAGTCTATCTTTATCCTGTTTTCTTAATGGCCAAGTTTCTGCTCCACATAGCAGAACTGACCGAACTGCAGCTGCATACACTCTACCCTTCACATGCAATCGGACGTTGCGACAGCACCACAGATGTCTCAGGTTGGCAAATGCCAACCGAGCTTTCTCTATGCGAGGTAAAAGGTGATCAATTTAAAACCTAGCATCGGGTATGAAAACCCCGATCAGGGGACTTGGGCACGCAGGTAGCTTTTGCGTCCCCGGGTGAAACTTAATCGATGGTCAGAGACACTGAGCACCATGGATCAATGTCGTAAACGGTGATGCTCGTGCACTTACTCAATAATTTTGCAACCTTACCCTACCTGAATCTGTATCCTCATTTTGGTTCTGCTGCCAGCGTTATAGCATTTTCGTCTACTCCTTCATCTGAACTGGCTGCTCATAAGTAGTCCAGTGAAGTGGCATTGTCGATGGTTGTGTAAACCAGAGCTAAACATTCACTCCAAGTGTTTCAGTTGAGATCTATAGTTAACCAACTAAAGCCAAGTTGACTTTATTGAACTGACTCCGTTGGTGCCGCTAAGAGATCAAAGTCTCATTGAAGGGACGAATTTACAATCTCTCTATTCCGAAACGTTAGTAGTGTTGGGAAACATCGAGTTAGTCAATATAAGGTTTGTTTATGGAAACCAGCTAAAAGGAGCCAAATAACTGATGTTAATAAGCGACGGAGTGGGTTTGTTCATAAGAGTTAACGCTTTATGGGCACATGAAAGAACAAATAGCGGGTTACATAACGATGAAAATAGTTCATTTCGCTATTGAAACCAATGGGAACTTTATTAAATAATGAATTTCACCAACGAGAAGTTAGACGGGATGTCTTAGAAACGAAACACACATGACACATTTTGTGAGTTTTACACGTTATCATTGTATTTAACCTAGCTTTGAAGAAAGTGAGATAAGTTTCAAAATATTTCCCTAAAAAACTAGAAAAAGATGACTAATTTGCCTCGTTCTAGATTGACCTGGTGTCAACATGATAACGAAGAATCCAGGATGGGTCGGGAAAATGAGAGGAACCTAACTGTAATTTGCATCGGCCTCAGATAGTTGAAAGTAATGTTCTCTTTTGTAACGGGCTTGTTTACCGCTTGCTATCCGTTCTTCAGTGAAAAACGGAAACCAATGGATAGACTTGTTCCCTTTACCCGATCGACTGTTAATCCATATCCACCCTTCCGAGTTATAGATCGCTGCGGAGGCTATCTGTCCACGTCTTTGTGAATTTCAGAAATAATCATGGCGATACAACGCAAGCAATTTCATAACAGAACGAGCCGAAACAACCGCTTTTACTGTGATCTCATTAACTGGGGCGATGGGGGGGGGGCAAGATGGATTTCGTAAATTGGCAATCACCTTTCACTGATATAAAGTAGGCAATTTAGTTATGCAAAAGTGAACGACGGGTTCTTTCATTTCCGTTTTGTCAATTAATGCAGTATGGCCGATACACATTTAATCATTTATACAGTCAATATCCTGTTATGTCGCAAACATGAGAAATTGCATTTTCCAATATCTTCCCACTTTTTGGAAAACCGAAACCAACTGTTTGCGTAATAACATAGTTTCTGACTATGCAATGTCACCTCTCCCGTCAACGTGTCGCAGTTCCTGATAACTATTCACTTGGTCTTTGACCGTTGTTCTAGCACGGCCATTGACCAGCAAACCTGCACTCAGCGAACATGACACTGTTCACTGATTGGCTAATCTTTGTGAGGATGACCCACCGATGCCAACAATCGAAAACAGTGTCACTTCACTTCAAAATGTGCGAGCGCAACTACTCCTGTGCATTAGTATATGGGTTTGTACGAAAGTTTTAAGGTACCACGTGAAACATTGGACAAATTTCGAGCGGTTGATCCATGAATACAGACAAAACAGAAGCTCCCAGAAAGAAAATTAAATCTCCAAGGAAAAACAGTTTCTGTGTCTAAAGAATCCAAAGAGTCACGTTACTGCGTTACTGAGGTATGGATAGAAAAAGCCTTCCATAAAGTCACAATTCTTCAAAGAATCTATGAATGACTACGTTACTTCACAGTCCTATGCCAACTGCAAGATGGCTTTGGTGGCCCGGTGATAACGTCACTAAATTATTACCCCTGGGATGTGTGTTCGAATCCCACCACCACCTCTGACTTTCCCTATTGTGGGTTGAATCGTAGCCCTTTGATTGGCCGCTTCCCCTCCCCCCTTCCGGAAAGACGCTCTTTTTTTATTATTTATAGACAGCGACCTTTGCGATAACAAAGCCGCAGTATTCTGTAATATCAAACTAGTATGGCTGCCTCCTAACTGTTCTTTAATGTTAAAACCAGTAGATCAGGGTGTCTTTCAAATGTTCGTTTCAGAAAAAATTGCTGGAATATGTTTTGTCTTTGATTGAAGATCAGCAACGTAGCATGGAATCCAAAATGGACATCCTCATCGGCATGTATCCAGAAAGCTTGGGTGTCTGTGTACTGATCAACGCTTTCGTAAAAACTGGGTTGAAACCCGCATTGAATCAGCCGATGATGCAGCCACCAGAGGATAACTGAGAGCTGATTGAAGACTACGCATAATGTGTCTGTTGATGACCTTCATTTTGGAGAAGAAATCAGCTGTTTAGAATTCGACGATGAAGACGTGGGTCATTTATTAGTTTTGCATCAAGTCTCTTTTTAGCCATTAGATGAACTCGTTTGGAATCATGCTAAGCGTCACAAAGAAGAAGATGAATGTGAAGCAGTGAATGCACCGGAAGTTGCGGCAATTAGGTAAGCACAAGTTACTGGATCAACTGAAGCTGCTTGCCTTGGTTAATGCTCGGATTTCGGGTAGATTACCGGAGTGTACAGTTTGTTGATTTCAAAAGAAGAGTCAGGCTGAAACAAACGATGGTTTATAATTACTCAAAATACATCTTTGTAATGTGAAAAGTTTTTTCCCGCAATTCTGTGGAACCCTCGAATGAGGTCATTTTTGCTGCAGTAGTCACCAAAGCCATGACCATTCGGTCTATCGATGGGCTGTGTCGCACTAACAAACACAAAACGATAATCGCGATTACCTAGTAAGCGGATATAAGGAGTAGGATGTCAGATCCACCCGATCGCTCCTTCGCGCGGACGAGATTGTCTGAGTGAATGAATGATAATCGCACTTATCCTTGCTAGAGCACTGATGAAATTAGGTCATTGGCCAAAGGTCAACATAACCCGGGTCAGATGCGCCTCTGACAATTTGAGCGATGCACTTCTAATTTGTGAATCACTTATGTTTACCGACATTGGTCATAACGAATGTATCAATCGGTTGAAACATACACTGGTAAAAACTAAAGTAAATGAACGAGTTGTTTGTATGTCGATTGTGAAAAGTTCAGTAGCCTCGGTGGGATTCGAACCCACGCATGGACACCGCTTACGCTTTGTACGCGCATGCTCTACCAGCTGAGCTACGAGGCCACACCGATAGCACTGATCTTTTTCACATTCGAATTCGGTGAATTCTAAGGAAAACCTGTCGAGGCAGTCAGCTTACATGCTAACTGGTGGATGCCCATGCTTCTGTAAGTTGGATGGGTAAATTCGAATGTGAAAAAGATCAGTGGTATCGGTGTGGTCTCGTAGCTCAACTGGTAGAGCATGCGCGTACAAAGCGTAGGCGGTGTCCATGCGTGGGTTCGAATCCCACCGAGGCTACTGAACTTTTCACAATCGACATACAAAATTCAAATCTGCCAAACAACTATTTGAACGAGTTGTTGTCTACGGAGNCTACGGAGTTAATGCTACACATTTTTCACCAGAAAATCATGGATAGAATACACAACGAATAATCAGTTTAGATTATGAGAAAGAAGTCAATATACTGAGTATTCCCCGCACCAGTTATTTCACTTATTTTAGATGACGTGATTTCCTTCGAGTGCCATTTTTATCCTGTGCTCAACCTGGTTAATTCTTGTTTTCATTGAATGGATTGATACTGATGTTGTGATTGTTATAGCCAGAGTAGCTATGGTGGACGCCATAAGTTCAATTCCTTGGGTAGCCAACATGCCAAAGGAATGAGGGAATTATTATACGATAATTAGGTTAGGTAAAATTCCCCTGAAGAAAAGTGGGTAGTTTCGGGATAAGTAGATACATGAAACTGAAAAGGGGTTGAATACCGGATGCAATGTACTGATATTAGGCTGAAGGCATAATGAAGGATTTCAATTTCTTCGATACATAAAGGATACGCAGGACGGTTATCTAAATTCCGTTATAAATCAATAGTACGTAATTATAAACATTGGCAACAAGTAACGGAATCAACGTACTTTTCATTGACCCAGTTTATTTTGTGAAAAAAACAATTTTTCATAAATAAAATTAAATAAATAAATGTATTTGTCACTTCCTTTTTTATCTATTGAATAGTTAAGTGTACGGTTGACTTTCAGAAAGAGGGATGACGCCATACACAGGCTGCCTGGAGAAATACAGAAATCGGGAAGACGGGCGGCGGTGGAGCGGTTCGAACTCCGGACTTCCGGGTCAGAATTTGGTAACCTAACCACGTTGCCATCACTACCCTCGTTACTTATTTACTACTTACTAGCATCTACTGCTGACCAACATGCTGTGTCGCAGTTCCTGGAATTTACCCACTTTTTCAAATTCCCGAGGGATTCAACATAGCAGGAGGTTGACTGTACCTCAGTTTTCTGTTATCCGTAAGCTATCTTTTCACCTCAACCACAAGTTTATGATTCGTTTCCATGTTTGCTTATCCCCCTCCCAATACCATCACGGACAGTGCCTCACCATCAGAAGCGTAGGTTTGAAAAAATTGATAGATATTGTGGCATTGACACGACTGCGTCGATTGGAATCGCTTATAGTGGATCCCGGTGCAAAAAACCCTATTGTACAACAGGCTGGACAATTTTGGCGTCCGTTTGTGATATGGAGTCTCAAAGATGCATTGGATCTGCGACATCTGGATCGAGTTGAGGTAAGAAGTGAACAATGGGAAAAGTTTTATGCAATATACTTTCCCTAACAAGCGGAAAAAATAAAATCTAAAATTGACCAGCACCAAACGTTGCGTTGATTATCAACTGGAATTTGAGGTCAAGTAATGATATTATTTACTTTGTTGCATTTTGAGTTTGGGTGCTGGTCCTAATCCGTCAATCAAATGGTATACGTTCCGTATTCTGGTTGTTATATGAAATAGACATTTGTCGACTGAACCCCAAAATCACAACGGAAGAGCACTGAGTGTTGCCCCTTAGAACCGATATACAGGATTTATATATTCCAAAAAACGGTTGCTTAATCCAATTTCTTTCTCGTGACACAGGCTGCAGTGATTGATAACCATGGGCGGAGCTAGTGAAACGATGTGCTCGAATCCCTCCAGTGATACCTAACTTACCCAATCCGTTGCCCAATGGCAACCATTTGACCGAGCACTTCCTGAACTCTATATTTTTGAGCGAAAAATACTGAGTCAAATGAGCCGTTAAGTTATTTCCCTCTCAAGGGTACGCGTCACCTTGAGGTGTGAATTTGGCTTAGGCTTTGAGGAGAATCGAGAGGCTTGTAAATTAGGTGTTTTTAGCCGTTGTTGAGTGTGAAACAGAAACCAAACGGAAACAAAAGTTTGTTTGATTCATGCATATCAGAGTATCCTGATAAGAGCACTCTGTGTCAACATTTTCTGAAAAGTGTGAATTTGGAAAGAGTACCACCCTGTAGCTCTAGATAGATGGTAGAATGACTGATGGCTTGCATTAGGAATTCATCCATCAATTGTTGGGTCTCCAATGGAATGTGGCAAGGACATCTGACCTAACCAGTTCCCTTCAAGTATAAAGTAGGAAAAATTCTTAAACACACGTTTTCTGGCTTTGAATATGGAGATGCGGAGTTTCCCCTTGGTTTTGTTTTTTGGCTTAGAAAGCTGTCTGTTGTTTTGCAACTGTCTGTCTGCTATTCAACCCACTGATTGATAATTGGTGACTCTCCAATTGGCAAGATTGGCCACCCATAATTGGTTTTCAAAGATTCGTTCTGTAAAGACTGCACACCATTTACCCATTTCATGTAGATTGATGAATCGCTACCTTTTTCATCATATAACCATCGAGATCAGTAGATTTTAACTTTTTCAGTCATTGTAGACGAAATCCTTTGAGACAGCGCTTCTGAGGGCCAATACCTATTCCAATCTTTGTGCAATATACATAAATCGTGGTCGGGCACTCGTGGCTTCTGCACAGTGTACTCAGAGTCAAAGTCAAAGTTTTATTATGGTGTTACATAAAGTTCCTGGTAGGAGATAACAGATAATATAGTCTTCAACTAACTGGCCTTTTTTGTGTAGAATGTGAGGTGTGTCAGGTTTTCATTGAGTCTCCATTTAAAAGACTCAATAGTTGGCGCACAAACGACGTGAGATGGAAGATTGTTCCAAGTACTGCACACTGTGACTGACTTTGGAATCAGTAACTTGAAACAATGTCCCCTAAGGGGTATCCAGAGGTTGATCAAAATCTTACAATATCACACTGATTTTCGAAATACATTTCAGTCTCCAATATCATACCTGTATATTGATGGCTTTGGGTAATGTATAATTCTTCCTGATTTTATCTTCCTTATCTATGTTCTTAGTTCTCTTCTATCACCGTTTGAATTAGCGTGAACATGAGCGTTGCGATAAAATTTGTCGTAGTTCGAAAGCTACATCTCAGATTTGGAAAATATTTTAAGCAAGCAGCATAGGAATTCATTCATTTAATACATGATTCCTGTTATATGACAATGTTTATTAAGTTGTGTCCACGTATTCTAAATTGCTTGTCTCTTTTCATTCAGTGCACAGCAACTAAGCAAATTAATCAAAATTTTCTAACTTAAATAAATTGATAAATTACTTGGCTACAAACTAAACACGCATCATCTACCATACTGAAAGAACTAAAAACATACTCCAAGAAACATAAACGTTGATCTTCAAAAGTGGACCTTGAGGTGTGCGGCTCGTTGAATAAGCGTTTTTTGTGTCACCATACCTACACCGGATGAAACATTCGAACGTTTTTGGCATATAATTGGAGTTTAGAGGCAACTTAATCGAGAAGCACATATATCCGATGATTCAGTTGGTGTCTTGTGGAAGTCGTTTAAATAAATAAATTCTTGTTACGTTTTCTACGGTAACTTTGTGATTTCACAACTGATACACCAGAAACCGTCGTCAAAATCATGAAATCATACATTTTATTGGTATGTGCTAATAGAAGCAAAGACATAAGTGGGTATTATACCAGATATGTTGCGTCTGATGTGGGTCAGTATCACATTCAATCCCCTGAATGATGCTGGAAAAACAAAGCATTGAGAAGAACAAATGTGATGAAAATCAGGACTTTGGTCAATATCTGTACTGTTCCAAAACGTGACCAGTGGCCGACATGAATGGTTTGGGTTCTGCAGAATTTAATACACCAAAACCAAGTCTCCTCGAAATCGGTGGTACTGAGCAGAATATAGTCTCAATGATGGTAGTCTCTTCTCATAGGTGAGGTATTGCAATCCCTTGACCATCTTGGAGACAATCCTTTGTGGACTCTCCAGCATCCTACGATCACATTGCCACCATGGACTGCAAGCTTGGAC